TAAGTACAATTGCAAACTAATAGTGTTCTTTTAAAATGGCAGGCCCCCTCATTTGTTCTCCCATGCTTCTTAGTTGAAAATTTTCATTAATTTATCTTTTTTCCTGAAATTTGCCATGGCAGCCAGAGGAGCTTAAATATAGTTTTTGACAGCTGTATGACTGTTTGAATAGTCTGCTTAATTTAGAGAATTATCTGTGTGCTTGTCTGTCACTGATGGATATTGCCAAAATGATCAAAGAAAAATAGGACGTTGTCTTTAAATAAGGCTATTTCTATGTTCTGTAGGCAAAACAGGAGCAATTTGAGCTGAAATGGTTCTACACCTCTTTGTCTTATTGTGAATCCTAGACGTATTGTACACAATTTGTCTGCTGAAAATAAAGGTTGCCTGATTTAAGTTTATAGGCATGAATTTTCTTAAAAACTTACTGTAAAGATGTGGGTTGTGTACAGGATTATGAAATGCTCAGCAGGTTATGTTTAAAAAACACATGTATATGCTTTAGGACACTGCCATTTTTTTGGGTTTTATTTCCAGCCATGCGAGTATGAGTAGAAACTGACAAGAGCACCTATGTCTTTGTTTCTATTTTCTTGTAAGTTTTTCTTTTAAATTTGTGTTTAGGTGGCTTTAGTATTTCTCATTCCTAGTACCCCTTTATTTTTCCCCTCAAGAGGGGCTAGTTTTGTTATATTTTTGTACTTGGTGGGTGTCTGGAATAGCATTGGTTCTCTTGTTAGTAAAATTATTCCTTTTTTCTCATGGCATTGGGGTGATTGCCCAGTTGGAATGAGACAGCCCACAGCTTTCTCTCCTCTGCAAAGGGGGTCCAGGGAGTTATAGCAAGGTTTCCCTCCTTCCTGCGATGCCAGGTGAGATCTGTCCGGGTTAGCTGAGGTTGTGCATGGAAGTGATAGTGCACTTTGGGAGAAGAGCTTTCTCTAAAAACAGTATCACTGCTCTTTGGAGTTCTGCTTGCTTTCTTCCTATTTCTTCTGGAGAGGCAATACTCTGCCCATAAATAACTTACTTGGCTGCTACATAGTTTTTTCTTTTCTTTTTCTTTTTTTTTTGGATAGGACTTCTCAAGACTTGGCTCTTTGGCAGTTAGATGGTTTCTCTGGACCATTTTATTCAAAAGGATTAAAAAAATGGCAAAGAATAAGATTTTAAAACAATACAAACAACTGGTGGGATTCAGAAGGGGAAATGGGAATGGAGAAGAGGGACAAGGCCTAAGGGCTCTCGGAATCAGACCATTGCACTAAGATAATCAGTATCATGTTTTATTTATTAAATGGAAACTGTTTCAAACTGTGCTGTCTTAAGAAAGACTTAACCATTCTCAGACAGATGGGATTTAGCTTGTGCCACTTCGGCTCCTGTACGGAATATTCTGAAACTTTATTGAAAAGTTGGCTAGTTCTGACATTGATCTTAACATTCACTAGTTTCTCTGCTCTGCAGTTCTAGCTGTGACTCCCATACAACGTAGTTTAAGGAAAATGTGTGGTTTTTTGTCCTACCTAGCAAAGTGGGAACTGTGTAGTCTGTTACTGTTCAGAGTACCAGTTCTGTTGTTTATGTGCACAAGAAAGTGATTTGGGAGAGGTTTGTCTAACACACAGGTGCTAGGCAAGTACACCACTAGTATGTGTACTTGTGACAGCATCTACCACCCTGAACTTCCCCCAGGGATGTTGTTGATGTTTCCCTGAAGTCTTTTAATTCTCCAAGTTACTTTTGCTTTCAGGGATGGGAAGTAGAGTACAGCACGCTACTTTCTTAGTTCTTGTTTTTTGCTCCCCAACACTGGCTGTCCTTGCCTGGGAAACTTCTTATCCCTGTTTCTCAGGTCTAGCTTTTTAAATTTAAAGTTTTGGGGATGACCTTTGAACTGACATGAGAAATCATCAATGGCATTTGTCTGTAGTCCTAATGTGAAGATTGTCAATAGCAGTATGAGAACTCTCTGAATATGCTCTTCCTGGCCTGTCCCCCCGCCTTGGTTTATTTTCATTCTGTACTTTCTTCTGAGATTTGGGACACAAACCCAATTGTCTCCTACCGCAGTACATGTGTTAGCAACACTGTAATTCTACTTTGGTTATGTTAGACTGCCTGAAAGTACAAACACGCTTCACTTGGCTCTGCTGCTCAGATACCAGTAATATATTAATTTTGACAATCTCTGAAAAGTTTTTATAAACATGCATCCAAGACATGTTTTTTCCCCCTAGATAAAATTTTTCTATATTCTCTGTGCATAAGCTTCCTTTCCACTAAGTGCTTTTTCTCTTAATATGGACTTACCGTTTAAGATGTATTTGCTAATTTGTTTATACACATTGGACTTAATGTATGATGTATATCCCACTGTTTGTTGCACATTAATATTTTGGCTTTCTGTAGGAGAATTTTTCTTGCCATAACTTGATGTAAGCACCAGTGCAGATTTTTTTCATTTTCTATCACATGTTAATTTAGTGACTTGACCATTAAGTTGTCTGTGCTGTACCCCAGATAGCAACTGGAAACTAGTGCAAGAGGACAGTGTTCTTAAAAGTCATGTTTGTTTTCAGATGAATAACCCTAGTGTAAGTTATACTGTTTTAAAAGGAAGTACTAATCTTATGAAGTATTATTTTGTTACCATTTTAATACAACAGGTAGCTATGATGTTCATTGCTGGGAAATTGAATACATTGTTGTTTTTTTTTTAACTTTAATTAAAGGGGTTGTATTTCTCTCAGGTCTTCTTGGGACTGTACTTAAATTGTGTGAAAGAAAGACAGAAATTCTGTTGGGTTTGTCTGTTTGTTGTTGCTTTTAATCCAATTATATGTGATTTCTGATGAGCAGGGCTTATCTGGCAATTTAATTTCAGTCAAGAAAGCTTTTTTTTTTTTTTAAGCTGGAGTCATTTGTTATTAGCCAGGAAACTAGAATAAGAAGTGCTGTGGTTGGGGCACTATTAGAGCAAGTAAATGTAATTTGTGTTTCAGTTTTATGGGCTATATTATTTCAATATCATCAGCTGAGCTTTCATTTATCTTTTGAGTTCATTAATGTTTTTTCCATGTCTTTTGGCTGAATCATAACTGAAGCAATTTTGATGTCCTGTACTGTTACAAATTGAGGTTGTCTGTTATTTAATGGTACTTATTCTGTCTAATTTATTTCCAGTTAACGGGTTGTTTTTCAATGTTTTTACTTTGCCTAGTTCAGCATATGATACAGTGTTTTTTCTGTACCTCATAATGCTTTTCTGCTGCTCTTTAGTCAGTATCATAATGAACTTTGAATCACTGATTATCTTGTCTGTGTTCAAACATGAGTGGTTTAGAATTATTTTTTTAAGTATCACTTAATTTTTTATCTTTTGTAACTGCTAAGGTTGTAGTAAATGAGTTATAAGTGGATTTTACTTGTTGTCTTGTGCATGGATGCAGGGCAACTGTGTTTGATAGTTTGTTCCAGATTTATCTCCCCATGGTGAGATAAATGTCCTCACCCTCTGTCTAGTCAGGTACATCATGTAGTTATTTGTATCCCGTGTCTTCTTTCCTCAAAGGGTGTTTTCCATGATTTGGGTTGGAAATTCTGCTATTTGTTTGTCGATTATTTTTTCATCCTAAATCTAAAACCCCAACATTTTTTCTTGCAAAATATTACTTTAAATCTTATTAAGGTTTGCATGAAAAGGGGTTCAGGCTTTTATAGACTTACTGCCTTTTTGTTCACTGTAAATGAATGCATAGTCTTGAGAATAAACAGGTTCTGTATTGATTTCTCCCTCTCATCATCATCATAAAGTCTGATAGAACTCAAATCTGACCTCTACAGAACTGCTGAAGACAGAGCAGTAAGCTTCCAGCAACTTGGATAAAGCTGTACCTATGACTGTTAGGGGAGCTGTAGTTGGGGCCCTGAAGGTAGCAGTGGGCATTGGATTTGAGGCCAAAGATGACACCTCTGTTCATGTTAACCTGCCTTGATAATTAGAAGGGCTGGAATTGTTTCTGCTCAAACTGATTATGCTTGTTTGAGAATGTATTAGCCCTGGGCAACTGGATATTTCAGCCTTTCAGACCACATGAATGATATTTTGAGCTTTTCACTGAAATAGTGCAGGTTTTACAATGCAGCTCTTGAGAAGGAGCCAGTCTTTGATGTAGTGGTTTAGTTTCAGGATGCTGTCAAAATAGTCATTGCCAGCATAGCTGTAGCATACGGTCCTTGATTTTGAAAAATAAAGAGCAGATTGGCATATTCTAGCAAGGCATTTGGATTATAACATAAAAATACAACTTCATTGCCAACAGTCCTGTAACGTAAAAATGAACCACTTGGCACTAGGAGGGTGATCAGTAAAGTGGAATCAGTGGGCAGCTTGTGGTCTTATAGAATACTTGAGAAAAGAGCAAAGTCTCTTATTCTGGCTGTTTCAAAACTTGTTGCCTGAATTTCTACAATTTTTTCATGCTTGAGTGGCTGGGTGGGGGGACTGAGTATCCTTGGGGTACCTCTGTACTTGATGTTAGCTCCAGAAGTCTATTGTAGGAGTTGATGTCTTAGTGAAGACAACACTTCCTGCAAGGAGGAAAAGGTTTGCCTGCCGTGAAGATAGTTCTCCGGAAGTTAATTTACAATGCTACTTGCAATGATTCCAGCATTTGTCTTTGCAGTGGGAATCTTGATTTGTTCCTCTTCACCCCTTTAAATCCATCAGATACCTTTTTGCATAGAGGCATTAGAAGTGCAAATATGAAGGGTCCACTGATTTGCAATTAAAATTACTGTTTTCTGATGCCTATCACTTAAATAAGTTTTCTGGTTTTTTCTCTTGGACTGGGATGGTATTGCAAGAGTGTGATTGAAAAGGAATTAAAGGAATTGAATATGAAATATATTAAAGGAATGTTGCTTTCCTATCTTAATTTCTGTAAGCAGCAGTGTCAGATTTGGTAATACAAACATGACATTGTCTCTTGTAGGATAATCATGGGTCAAACCGGAAAAAAATCTGAGAAGGGACCAATTTGTTGGAGAAAACGTGTAAAATCAGAATACATGAGACTGAGGCAGCTCAAGAGGTTCCGACGTGCCGATGAAGTAAAGGTACTTTATCTTTTGATTCTATTGCTTATTAAGTTTTACAAGTATTGATTATTTTCTGTAGTTTGTGTCCTTCAGTTAACACTTGCTATAACAATTTCATTGAATACTTTGTCAAGATACTGAGAACTTGTCTTAACTCTGTGGTCTTATAAACATGTATGATACATTTATGTGTGATTGGGTCAAGAATGTTAAGTATCAGAAGAGGTTGTGGAGAGCTAATATGGCAACATCTTTAGCTGCATACTCTTTCAAATTCAATTTAGAATTTAGTTCCATGCTAAATGTGTGACTCTCTAAATGTGAGAACATGGTATGAATGGAAGAAAGAGATCATGAACTATATTGAACTTCTCTGACGTTTAAACTAAATTTGTATGGTTTGAGCACTTTTGTTTGTTATAACATGTCTGGTTAAATGTTAGAATGCTTTAAGATGCTATCCAATGAATTTAGAATCTTTCATTTATTTATAATGTTGTGGTTAATTTTTAGAGTATGTTTAATTCTAATCGTCAGAAGATACTGGAAAGAACTGAAATCTTAAATCAAGAATGGAAACAACGTAGGATACAGCCTGTTCACATCATGACTTCTGTGAGCTCATTGCGCGGGACCAGGGAGGTTGGTTAACATGTGTTGTGGTAATTCCACTTACAAGGTTGTTAGCACATTTTCATTTTATTACTGGAAAGTTGGCTGTTCTTTATATTTTTTTTTCAGCATGATATGACTTGGCAGCTCAATGTGTTTTGTATGAGTCTCTTAAAGAATTTATGTATTGTGTACTTTGATCATATGATTTTGCAAAGGAATAAATATGTAGCAGGCTACCTGGCTTTGAATGACACACAAAAGTGAAACTTCTTTATTTCTGATAATGATTGGATCATACCTCAGCATCCTTAAATAAAACTGTTCTGTCTCCATGGTACTGGGAGTTTAGTGTTGCTCCTGTTGGAGTTAGAGTAATGAATCCTTGTGTTGCACAAGCAGACTGGGTGCTAAATTTGTGAAAAACACGTCCATAGTTGTGGCATAATTTGAGCTAAATGCCTAAACCTAAAATGGTTTCCACAGAATTGGCAAGGTTGAAAGGGACCTCTGGATGTCATCTAGTGCAGATTTCCTGGTCAAGCAGGGTCGTCCTAGAGCATGTTACTCAGGATTTTGTTCTGTGTTGTGGTAGCTTCAACAGTGATTTAAGCCCATTCCAGCTCTCTGTATTCATCCCAGCTTAATTTACTTTATTTTTAAGTTGCTCTTAGGCATTTCTTCACACTTAACAAGTTTGAAGGTGTTTATCTGTAATAATCTGAAAAGTGAACTCTTTTCAGGAGGGCGAGAATGAAAAGACTTTGCTGTGAATAGGTTAAAAAAAGCAAACCAAAGTACTTTATCTGCAAATAAATTTGCAGAGTTTCTTTCCCTTAAAATTTTAGTGCAGAACTGGGGAGTGAGACTGTGTCACAGAAGTGCATTTATGTGCATGTATGTTCAAATGCAAGAAGGAGAGGACCTTGGTGTGTTATCCTTTAAATGTTCTTGAATATGCAATTATTCATGTACAGCTCTATAACTATTGTGTGGATTAGAACTGATAATAATTGACACAGTTACACATCCAATTTTCACTTTTATTTTGCTGGTAGAAGATTGTTCCTCTTTTTTCTTTTCTTTCAACATGGTGTTCACTATTCTTTATGTTAATTTCCTGCCTGTATTGATAGAGCACACTAATTACTACATTCAATCCAGTCTCCGTCTCATGAATCAGAAGTCTAATGCTTGATTTAAGGTTGCCATAATTTATAGTGAGAGAAGTGAGATGAAAAAATGCTGGGGACTTCAAAAGACTACTTGAAAAATCTTCTTTTCTTAATATGCTGAATTTCTTCAGAGTTGCATAAGACACTGGCTAGAGATAGAAAGGTTGTGTGAGAGCCTTCCTGTGTTTGGTGAAGAGTGCAGGGCATTGCTGGTGACAGTCAGCATCAAGTGGAGACCATAACATGCCCTGTGCAGGCCTACCTGGCATCAACCTGAGTTCCATACCAGAACAACAGAGCAGTGTAATTGAGCCTGAGCACCAAACTGAGTCACTTTGATGTAGCCCATTTGTCAGCCCGAGACTTCTAGTTCCAAAGAGAAAAGTAATTCTTTTACTTTTGTATTTTGCTTTAAAAAATACATGAAAAATATGCTAGGTGGCTGCTAGCTAGAAAATTAAACATTAACCTGAAATGGGAATGAAGCAGTAGCATCGGATGCTGCCTAGAATATTAATATACACAGCAGAAATCTAATTTCATTTGCTGCAGATTAAAAAGAAAAGAAATAAATCTGGCTTGTGTCATTCTGCCAGGGTACTGTCTCTGTATATTGTTTGTTACATTACTTTGTGTATTTCTTTAGAAATGTGAAGCTCTGTTCATCTTTCCCTTCTGGAAAGGAGAAAGATCTTTTGTCTCCACTTCCTTTTTTCCTTTCAGGTAGCTATGATAGCTGTTCTAAACTTTGTTTTACCTACCTCCAAATCTTCTCTGTTGTACATCTCCTAGCTTTCTGTATGTTCCTGTCTGCTTTTGCTTATAACTTTTTCCCAGAGTTCTTCATACTGCAGTTCAAGTATTTGAGAAAAGTTGATCTGTGTTTGTTAATTGTTGATGAGATGCAAGAATAACCTAATTGTTGTCTGTATTTCTATGGATTGTTTATCCTTTGAAGGCTACATGAATCTCTGAATATCCAAAACAGAAGTCCTGTAGCTGAAAAATTGATTGATCTATCCAGAGTTACATACTAAGGATTACTTTTAATTTTTCCTTTGCAAGCAGAGAGCATGATGGAAGGCTTGAGGATAGGATAAACAGACAATAATTGGGAAACAAGGCAGGAATTAAAAAGACATGGAGTTTTTATTTATATAAGATGTCTTGCTGGCATTAAAGTAAAATTTTATTTATTTCTATAACATAAATAATACATGATTTCTGCAGTGTATTGATCTGAAGCCAGGGGAATTCACTTGCCCCTCAGATGGTCTGAGTGAATACACTAACGTCAGTGTAGCAGCAGCAACAGGTACTAAATCTGTTTTGAGATACCAAAATTAATTTGTATTGTAGGTTGAATAGTCTGAGTAAAATACTATCACAACCACTTAATAATAAGTGGAAAAATGCAGTCATGATTTATTAGCAAATATATTGACATAGAAATAATTCTTGAGGTTCTTTTCTCTTGCTAAAACTATTTTTCCTATTATGCTTTAAAAAATTGATGTATTTTTCAAAGGTTGATATTGCTAATTTTGAGAAACTCTTTGAATTTTTTACATGGTAGAGTGTTCTGTGATTTATTTTTGTTTGGTTTTTTTCTTGATGTTGCTATGTAAGTGTAACTTCAACTTCTTATTTCAGTGCTCTGTTACCAGTGACATTGATTTTCCAAAACAAGTCATCCCACTGAAGACTCTCAATGCTGTTGCTTCTGTGCCTATAATGTACTCTTGGTCTCCCCTTCAACAGAATTTTATGGTAAGTTTGAGCAAGTGTAGGGAGACGAAAGGTATGGAGAAAAGGGAGGTGTTAATTTTAGAAGCATGCCAACAAAATCTGTTGCCAATTACCTTCCATACTTTACCTATTGGTAATAGGGCAGTAATAAGCTCCCCCAAATAAAATAAAGATAACTTTGCAAACTGAATTTGTCCTCTATGTACCTAAGTATCTCCAAAATCTTGCTGTGAAGTTTATTTAATTCAGGTGACCTATTGTCTTTTGTGGCCATTAACAAATGTGGTTTTATTGCAAAGTATCAAATTAGTGTAGTGGGAAATGTTTTCTGAGGGATATGAATGCTTTAATGTAAGGCAATCAACCAACGTATTTGTAACAGAATAAAGTTCTTGTGGAATAAAGGGAACTAAATCCTGAAATAGTCTCCCTACATAATGGTTTTTCTCATATCTGAGTATGCCCTTTTTTTTCAGATTAACTTTACTGTGTGCAGTAGCCATAGCTTTAGATTTCTGATATAGGTATTTGACTTCTGGAAAAGCTTAGCTTATTGCAAATCTTTGTCGCATGATTTTGTTTAGGACCACCTTTGCTGACTAGTTATTTTGATAATAATTGTTATGAAGTGGTTTAAACAACAGGTTTTTTATCAGTATACATACACCATTTTTTCACACCTTTTTCTCTTTGCTTTCAATTCAACAGTGTTTGGATATTTTGGATGAGTACAGAATCATGATCAGCAGGAAAGTTTTGGTATTTTTTTTAACAATAGAAGGTTCTTTTGTACTATTGAAAGATGCTGAGTATCAAGGTCCGTAAATTCTATTGATAAAACATGGGAGTATTAATGCATTTAGTCTATATGGAGTCAAAAAAAGGGACAGTGGAGTTCAGATTAAATTTTCAGGCATGTTTCTCTGTTTGCTCTTTAAACAACTTTAATTTAGAGTCTTTTTGTAGCATATTTTCTTATCTCTGGGGAAACAATGAAAGGGTGGTTCCCATTGTGCTTTCCTACATTACTGTAAGAGAGAACCAAGAGAGGACGAATGAATTTACCAAATGCAAGCTTCCCAAAGCCCGATAACTTAATGAGTTTCCATATTAGAAACTTTGTGGAAACGCTCTGCTAACCTTAAGATTAGGAGCTGCTTTTACTATTTTGAGCCAGTCACCAAGAATGCAAAAAATTGTTGAAAGCCATTGAGGGTTTTGTTTTTCTAGTTAATGGTAAATGTGCTAAAGCAGTGAAGCTAGTTAATTTACTGTTGTAGGCAGAGTCCTGTAGATAGTGAAAAACAAGACAGAAATGGTCACCTGACAACACAATTTAAAGTGGTTTGGTTATCACTGTTGTTCCTAGGTAGAGGATGAAACTGTTTTACATAACATTCCATATATGGGAGATGAAGTGCTTGACCAGGATGGTACCTTTATTGAAGAACTGATTAAGAATTATGATGGGAAGGTGCATGGAGACAGAGGTGAGCCCAAACACTCAGGTATACTAATCATTTCTTCCTATATAAATTATTGTTGTAGTTTTGCTTAAGAGCTTGATGTGTGATTGTTACAGTAGTATCTCTACAACTTCTGCGTTGTGTAAACATTGGGTGTAACAGGCTTCCTTATTTAAATGTATTCTGCATTTTCATTAGGCTGCAAAGTTTTAAGCAGTAGTGTGGAGAAATTAAGCACATTAGCTTTTTCCTTGTACTATACAGTGGTTCTTGGTATTCAGTTTTGTGCTCAGAGCTTTGGAATATGATATTGTGATGTGGGTATGTGTCTTGCCTAGCAGAAAATGGCAGGATGATTATGCAAAACTCTGATAATGACAACATTTGCAAATGTGATTCAACAGAGTAACCTCTTGTAAGTTTGTGGGGGTTTATTTCCTTCCTTTCTTTAAGGAACTTGCTAGCTATTTAAAACCCCCCTCTCTGTAAATCAGCTTATAGAGCAAAGTGGTATCCTTCTGTTGGTACAGAAGTATTACATATACTTATTCTGAGGTGTAGTTTATCTGTTCTCCTGTGTGGGAGCTGGACTACCTGCAGTGTAATCTGCCCTTCACTTTGCTAAACTCTCAGTGAAGTGGCGACTTCACTTGCTCTGGGCTCCCTCAGAACTGGCTTATAGAAGCCTCAGCTTCCCTTGTAGAGGTTTCTCTTGACTACTGTGATTTCTCCTTCTCAGAGATATTGCCCACACACTCCACCCCTTCTCTCAAACAGAGAGCAGCTTCTTAAAATTAATCATATTCCTGTTAATGCTGACACGTCTGAGAAAGAGAACCACACTTTTTGAATTCATCGTGTACCATTCATGAAGGTTAAGCCTGTGATTCAGTGATAAATGCTACTCAGCCCTACTAGACTTGTTCATGTCCTCACTATAGCTGGTGCCTTTGTATTTCATAAGAAACATGGAATGTTTGTGGGCTTTGGCCTTTGGGTATTTTTACACATTTACTGATTGCTGATTTCCCTGTCAGAAAACTGGTTATGTCAAAATGATGACGTTACTACTAAATGTCTTCTATTATTGTTTTAACTTATTATTAAAGGAGTTTAGCTTTAAAATTAGTCCTGTTTGAGCATCCTGAGATGCATGTTTATGATGGCGATTACTGTTATTATGTTATTATATAAAATACATTAGAAATAGACTTTTTTTAGTCTCCCAGTAATTTGTGCTATGTGAATGTAATTAAATGTAAATACTGTGGGAATCTGTAATCCAGAGGCATTCCCATGTAAGAGTCAGAATTCTAAACTAGCTCTGTAATTGCACTTTTGGGAGACAATTTGTGCTAACCTATGTATGTATATTAAGAGTCTATTTAAAACATCCGAGTGGTGTTTTCATTGTCTACGTAGTAATAAAAGTCTTATTTTCTGTCAAGTTATTTTGACATGCAAACCTAGTCCAGGTTCAAAAGGATGATAATAAGCACTACAGTTCCCACATAGTTCATGTTTTGTTTTGTTTTGTTTTATTTTTTTTTTTTTGAAAAATAGTCTCTTGTCAGCACTAACTATGATTTTTCCTTTGTGCAGAAATGTCTTATTAATTTGTTTTGCCATCTGAATGTCACAGCAGAACATAAACTGATAAATAGATATATGCAGAATATAATCTAATAAATTATATGTAAAATTTAGTTTTCTCTTGAATTTTTTGTATATGATGTATTCTTTTATCACCCAGCCAGTGTGGTCTGTTGTGGGAAGTAGATGCTAAGGAATGATCAACCAAAAATCTCTCTGGAGATTCCTTAGCTGCCTAAGGATTGGTTTATAGACTATTAGCATGCATTTCCAGACTGGCTTAACCCTAACCATGTTGGAACTGGGATTCTGGCATAAAATCTTTTAAATAATGTAGCTGGTAGTATTTTTTATCTTACAAGGAAGAGAGATTTATATATGTACATAGCACATAGAGTTGGGAAAAAAAAATTGTGGGAATTTTTCTTCTTTTATTCCCTATTGTTAGTCTAAGAAGTGAATAATGAGCTTTTTAAACTGGTCTTGGTTTATACACTGCTGTTTAAGAGGGGAAAACTACAAAATTGCTTTTCATAAATGACAGCATTTGCCTTAGTTTAATTAAAATGTAGGGAGGATTAAAAATACCTCATGTATACCTTGTGTTTTTTTGTTCACTCCCAATTTTGCTGGATTTCAGAATGTGGATTTATCAATGATGAAATATTTGTTGAGTTGGTCAATGCCCTTGGTCAATATAGTGATGATGAAGATGATGATGATGGAGATGACAATCCTGATGAAAGAGATGACAAGCAAAAAGATCGGGAAGGTAACAGGATGGGTATGTCTATCTGCAGACTTTAAAAATTAAACCCAAATGTTTTATTTAACCACTCAATACTTTTGTTCAAACCCATCTTTCTATGTGATAGTTTTCAGGTCTAAAGTAGCATAATTTTCATAATTTGCTTTGTCATTTAGTTCAACATTTCTATTGAGAACATTGTGAGAGGCACTTTTGCCCGTTTTTGTTAATTGGCGTACTGGGACAGTCACATGCACCAAAAATCAGTCAGGTATCTGTCTAATAAATGCTTTGGTACTCCTCAGAAAATGATGTATCATTCTAAAGCAGGCAGAGTTCTGAATTTCCGTCTCCATCTGCTGGTGAAATAATGGTCTATCTGAATTTTACCAGTAGGTTTTTCTCATCAGGAAAAATCACTTAACACAGTTAAAATTGTAAGTGATTTGGAATAAAAATAATTATTTTTTGGAAATAAAAATCTTTTATTGGAAATAAAAATTGGAAATAAAAATCTTTATTTCTTTTTTGCATTAGAATTTTGGCGAACACCCCCTTTCTCTGAACACCTTCTTGAGGTAGCAAAGGAGCAGAAATATATTTTTTTTGTTTTCCAAAATTTTTTTCTTCCTTGACAGAGAAAGAAACCCACCCACCTCGGAGATTTCCTTCTGACAAAATATTTGAAGCCATTTCCTCAATGTTTCCAGACAAGGGTACTGCAGAAGAATTGAAAGAGAAGTAAGAATGTATTTCTTAGAGTATATTGCTGTGTTGCTTTATGAAACAAAGATTCCTCTATAAAATAAATCCTTCATTAAATATTGGTTCATTAGGAATGGTTCCCCTTGCAGCTAGTTCTGTGGCATTTGTGTAACTTCGGCAAGTAACACTGAAAGGGATTTGGCTCTTTCCCCCAAGTCAAGCAGTACAGAAATATTTATTAGCCTTCCCTTTAAAATATAGAAAAGTGGGTGCTTATATGTGTCTAATAATATGTTATTTTTTGAAGTGATAAAATAAAAGCTACTGCTAAAAAAAGTCTTATCTCCTTTTTGGATGATACTATGATGATACTATGATGCTCGTACTACTCCTTTTTAATGATACTATGTACAAGGTCGTGATGGTCTTGAAAACAAATGTATTATTTCCTAGTCAATTTGTATTAATGAGTATAGAATTAATAACTTGTCATGTCACTAACAGATTGACCTTTTTAGCTGACACATAAATTTCTTAGGGTTTTTTTTTTAAGTTGTCATTGAAAATGCAGAGTGGTACTGGAATAAAAACCACTTTTATTAAAAAAATTATATTCAATAAATAAATTCTATTGTTTTGCTTTAAAGATACAAAGAACTTACTGAGCAGCAGCTTCCTGGAGCTCTTCCTCCTGAGTGCACACCGAACATAGATGGACCAAATGCTAAATCTGTTCAGAGGGAGCAAAGCCTGCACTCCTTTCACACACTCTTCTGTAGGCGCTGTTTTAAATACGATTGCTTCTTACATCGTAAGTACAATTAAAGTGTGCTCGTAAATGTCTTACTGTTTTTTCTAAGTCAGGAGACTTAAAAGTACTGTAAGGTCCAATGCAGAAGGAAGGAAAGAGAAGAAAAAATAAAAGCAGGAATATCTCTAAAGTTTATGAAAAGAGCTCGTACATGTTGACATTATTTTGCAGTGGAAACTATACCTCAGAAAAATGAATGCACCTGTGTGGGTAGTTTGTTATTCTTTTTGCATTTAGGACTTTGTATAGAATTCCTGACTCCAGGACCAATCTGTAACATCACTTCACTTTTTATATAGTCTGCAAGTAAACTACAGTGTTTTCTACTATTGTTTATGTGTTACACTTTCTCAATTTGTGCATGGAGAATGGGATAGATTTTTCCATAAAAAATCCTCGTTATTCATCAGGCTTGCTTCATTTTCCACTAAGGAGAATGAACACTCATGAACAGTTTCCTCTTTTATTCTGCTATGTTACTTTCTAGCTGCATTAGTTGTACTTGGTTATTTGAACAATAGTTTCAGAGAGTTGAGTTTTAGAAATTGTGATGTCCTTTCCCCTGAACTGCTTTTATGTTGCCCCATTGTTTTGGGCCAACAAGCTGACAAGAGCTTAGCAGTGATGTTGGCTTTCACTTGCAAAGTGTAAAGAGATTCTGAAGTGCTACTTGAGACAATTATTCTGGACAGAGAGTTAAATGTAAAGGGGAAACTAACAGCCAAATATGAAGTGGTTTAAACTTGTAGCAGTATACTCTGATGCCCTCTATACCAAATTAATTTTTGCTTTTGACTTAGCTGTTCATTTGCATGTTCCACTGTGAGTGCGCATGCATGTTCATTTGGGAATCCTTGTGCTTTGTCAGCAGCTCCTCATCCAGCACACATGCAAAATCTGCCTGTGTTTGTACTCCACACTGAAGGCTTTGCACAGTGCTACTGCTTTTTCATATCCCTTGGTTGCCCTTCAGTTTGAGGAGGAATTGGAGTTGTTCTCAGATGGTGGGGAGGGGGGAAGCTTTTCATGTTCCTGGTTCCTTTAGTACTTGGGCATTTTGGAGTTAGGTCTGTTAGTTTCACTGTCTCCTTATATTCTGTTACAGGCCTTGCTAGAAAATGCAAAATAAAAAATAAAAGGAAGTTGTTATTTCTGCATAATGTTCAGGAACAGTAAGTTTCTGGAGTAAGCTGTTGCCTTGACCAGCCAGCTTCAACACGGTGTGTTCTGTGGAGCTGTAGGTCTTGTGGTGTCTTAGTTGCCTGGATGCTCATTCTAAGAAGTGCTGTGTGCAGCCCTAGTCTGTGGGGCAGGGGAGTGAAGCTGTATGCTGATTGTTAGCAATTGGTTTGTCTGGCAGGGGTTTTAGGAGTTCTTGACGTTCTTAATAGTCTAGCAGACTACTGGGGGCCAATTTTGATTAAGTCAACAAAATAGCATTGTCTGGACGTAGTGAGGACAGGCTTATTCTAGTGGCACCTCTGAAGACTTGAGATATTTCTGCTGCAGTGATTTTACTCATTTTTCTCAATGATTTTGTAGACTTTTCGTTTTTCAGTGGAGATGGTTGCTCTTCTAAAACACACATATATTTGCCTTTCATGGCCATTTTTTGCAGACTGATAGAAGTACAACTGAAAGGTTTTGCTGACTACCTGCTGGATACCTGCTACTTTACCAGACCACAGTTCTGAGGCACCAGTTCTGAGAGACTTTTTTTTATAAAAGTGCCGTGAAGAATGGGTTCACAGTCTTAGACTTTCTGACATGTTCTTGGGTGGCAGGTTCAGCCAGTGAGGATGTCCAGAGCCATGTCACTGCTTGAAAGACTTCAGTTCTCATATCAGCAGCATCCTTTAAGCCAAAAGCACTGTGCCTTCCTTCTCTGTGTTCATAATCTTGAGAATGAAGACAAAGTGTTTATACTAAAAGATTACTAAGTCCTTGTTGCTGGTGACTTTTGATATGTCCCTTAAGCAAGCTGGAGTTCTTTCCAAAGTGGTGTATGTTCAAGGCTTTATTTAAACTGTGCCTCCTACTTAAAAGTGACCAAAGTTGAAATTATCCCTTCAGAATTTCAGGGCCAGCCATGACAGAAAGAGGGATGCATAGCACTTTCACTGTGGAAGCATTCAGGACTTACCTTTGTGTCAGATGGAGGGTGCAATGGCTGGCTATGACAGTGCTCTTTGTGACAGCCTGTGCAGCTCATTCCTTGTCACTGATGATAACATATTGGATGCGTAATCACCGCAAAGAGATCTCTTGACCTTCGATGTGTGGGCTCAGTGCTGGACCCTGAATGTAGTAAACTGGTGCTTCAGTTGCCACTCCCTGAAATCATACCCAGATTCCACTGCAACAATTACTGCCCACTGCTTTGGATGCATTGCTTCCTTTTCTTTTTGTCTGTAGTTATACCAAGGAAAGAGGATTGTTTTCTGTCTGCGTGTCTGTCTGTCTGCGTGTCTGTCTAGAGCACGGAATCTTTTTGTTAAAAACTGAGAGAGTCAGTTGTTGGGCCTCTTTGTTTTCTGTGAAATTTTAAGACTGCTGGTCTAAATTCACCCAGCTCATTGCTTGGAATAAGTAACTCATAAAAAAAAAAGTTAAAAAGAATGCTTTGGTTATTGGAAGGCTACAGTAGCAATTTTGAGTGTCTCTGCAACAATTTAACTTTTATTACATTTCGACAGTTGCCTCTATGTTCTGTTTCATGCACTTGCCAAGTGCTGTGGGATGATGTCCTGGCTTCTACAGATGACATTTTTGATGAATTACTTTGGTAACGTGGTGGGCTACAGTGATCACATTGGTACTTTGAAAGGTGTAAATCTCTGGAGAAGGCATAGAGAACTAAAAAAAAAAAAAAAATACAGGAATTCTATTAGGTCTGCTTTTGCTTTTTGTATTTCCCCCTCTTAGATTCTATTTTTGTTAAGATTAGCCTTATTTTGTGGCATTTCCAATCTTTGTTCTAGAACATTTGAGTTAAATATAGGAAAAGTTATCATTAGATTTTTAACGTGTCAAGTCCCCTTGACGACCTGGCAATCCCTTTATATGCAGGTGATGACATAACTGAAAAAACTTGTGTACCGACTTCATTTGCTGACAGCAAGGAATTATGCCTAAATGTCTGGACTAACAAAGAATTTAGAAGAAGGAAAAATATCAGGTAGGGAGAATTTCCCAAATAGCTTGACTATGAAGCAAATGTACATTTCAGGCTAAACTGTTGCCTGTGTACTTTCACATTATGGAAAATGAGAGTTGAGCCCATTGGGGATGAGACAGATAATAAATTTTGAAGACAGAAAACATGCTCAGGGATACCATGTTAGAATGATTTCTCTTGAGGAAATTATTAAAGAAATACAGACTTTAGGTGTTTAGGAAATTCTACCAAGTTTTCTGTGATTTTTCTTTTGAAAAAGATTACTACTGATATTTTAAAAATTCATAATACAGCTATACAAATAGTTTTATTCTTATCCTGGGTCCTTTCTTTATAACAAGTCTTCTCAAAAAATTACCTTGCAATAAAGGTGGTAGACTTTTACTGTAGTTGTCTTTACTGTACCGTGTTGGGTGTTTTTTAAATAGTTGAACACAAGATGATCCGAATTTTAAGTATCAGATGTAGCCTGGTTTTGAGGTCTCATGAGTCTAAAAATAACAAAGTTTGGTTTGTTTCATTATATTACAAGCTAATTTCTTAATTTTCTAAAGGAAAACAGTTTTTTTAAAAAATACTCATTTTAGGACCTTGCACAAATGAATTTGAGAGAGAAATGATTGCATCTGCAAGTGACATGTAGAAAGAATACCTTTAATTTCTGTGCATTGCAGCAGTCTGGTATAGATCATGGCTTGCAAACACCTTAGTGTTCTTTTGCCTTGCTGAAAAATTATTTTCCATGTGGTATGAAGAGAAGGTAAAACAGTTAAGTGGAAAAGAATCTTTTATGAAATGGTATACTGTGCAAATTTAAAGATGCAGTGTTGAAAAACATGCGGGTTTTTCCCTCCCACTTTTGGGTAAAGGGCTCCCATTATCTCATTGTTTCTTAGAAGATGGAAAAAGGTGAAATAACTTGGCATTAAATTGCATGGTTTCTTACTGTAACAAAGTGTAACATATTTTATCTACAGAGTATATGAACACTTGAAAGATACGTGAAACATGAGAAGTGGTGTAGCAATAAAAGCTTTTAACTAAATCTGGGAGATGAAAGAGCACTAATGGCAGCAATATACATAAATGATATTCCTATACTTGCTTGTAAATAATTTTTGCATATCTATACACCCATATGTAGCAAATGAAAGCTTTTTTGTGTTTCCAGATTTATAAAATATGTATTTGTCTGGAGAAAAGGATGTGATATTTACTTATTGTTACTTTTATTTTTGTTTATGCCATTTTAAGAAAGCCTTGGAAGAGTACATTGCTTTCCTGGGGGGGTTCCCAGCTGCTGCTGTCATTAATACAGGCACAATATTATAGAATTTATTATTTGATTTTTCAACTCACCCTCCTTTATGGGAGGGAAACATGAAGTGTTTCCAAGGTTCCAAGACAGAACTGGTCACCCTCCCACTGCTGCCAAAACAGGTGTTTGCAGAGCTATGCTGCAAACCAGACCATTGAAATGAAGTTTGCTTTTAAAAGCTTGTCTGGGAAGAATGAGCTCTGCCCACATGCTTTAACAGGGAAGGAAGAGCATTTAAAAAGTTGAGTCTTTAAATCTTAGTGGACAGAGAGAGAGAAGCCTTTAGCATGATCTGGAAATGAAATTAATAGGAAATGACCTAATGAAGGAGATGTGTGAAGTGGTGGTGTGGAACAGCCCTTTTAGATTAATATGGGTAGGAGGGGAGAGATTTCTGCTTTAATTTTGAACGTATTAGCACTTTTTATTCACTGAATTTTTAAAACCTTCACTGTAAGTTACAGTTACCCAACTGCAGCTGTGGTAAAACTGCAGCATAAGTGCTTCTGCATAGTTTGGAAATTGCACATTTTAAGTTGAGCAAATTTTCTGGGCCTTCATGGAGCATTAGCAAACAGACAGCTAGCACTGAGTACTGTCTTCTTTTTAAATTTCAGTCATTTCTTCATTTCTGTTCCTTGCAGTTCTGTATGCCACTGTTTACACATTTAGAGGGAAAAAGTATTTATTGATATCTCTCTCTCTCTCTCTAAAAAACAAAGTATTTTTTCCTTGAGCACAGATGAGTTGTTTTTAAAAAGACAATTGCAGAAAACTAATGATAGTAGCTCAAAAAACTCCTAATATAATGTGGGACTTGAATGTATGAGTTTTGGTGAGAGTCTAGTGGCAGGTTTTCCAGGCTTCAAGAAAGCTCTCTAAGAGGTACAGAGGAGTTCCCAAGACTTTCAGAAAATGGTGAAAAGTCATTCTCCCTGAAAACACCCTGCTGGGGTTGCCCGGGAGGAGAGCTGGCTCTGGCAAAGAGAGTGGGTAGGAAACTCTGCCCTCCTGTTATCAAGGTGCTCGTGTTGCGTGTGTAGCATACCCCGTTCTGCTCCTTTCTGAGTCACTGTTCTGCAGCTTTGTCAGAGCTGTACAGAGTCTCTCAGCTACAGCACCAGACACTTCTCTGTGAGGTGCAGACTTGGCTCACTTATCCAGAGTGACTGTGCAATGCTAACTTGTTTTTACCCTGCAGCTGGGCTACAGGAACTGAATTCTTAAATCCTGTCAGCTTAGCTGGAGTGCTGATAAACTAATAGAGCAAAAATGCTTTTGTGTCCTTCTCACTGACGAAAATGTGAAGTGGATTGGATTTTTTGACAAGATACGAATTTAACAAGTTGAATCTTACACATTGAAGAGCTGATCATTAATAGGAGAAGCCCTGAATAATTCTGTTTAACATGACAACCAAGTAAAGTCTGTTCTTTTGTTGGAAAGGATGATACACCAAATCTTCCTTCATACAGGAAATGAATGTGATGATTGCCTTTGTTGATGTAAAAGGGCACAATTGCTTTCAAGTGGAAGAGGATAGGTTTACATTTGATGTAAGGAAGACATTCTTCACCATGAGGGAAGTGAGACACTGGAACTGGTTGCTCAGAAAAGCTGTGGCTGCCTCATCCCTGACAATGTTCAAGGCCAGGCTAGATGGGGTTTAATCAGCCTGGTCTAGTGGAAGGTGTTCCTGCCCATGGCAGAGAGGAGTTCATTTTTCAGGTCCCTTCCAACTCAAACCATTCCATGATATTGAAACTTATCTATGTGCTGTCTCTATGTATTTAAGTGGTAAGTCATATGTCACTACATGGGGTTTATTTTATTATTTATTTATTCCATTTGTTAGTATTTTATTCTGGTTTTAGTGAAGTCTTGGTAACCTCATGTTTTCGGTGCAGTTTGAGGTTATATATTTAACGTATTTTTATACGAAAACTTAAAAATGTGATGTTTTGATTCAACAGCATTCCATGCAACTCCCAATACTTATAAGCGAAAGAATACAGAAACAGCATTAGATAATAAGCCTTGTGGACCTCACTGTTATCAACATTTGGTAAGATAATTTTATATGTCAAAATTCACTGAGTGCTAGTGCTGGCTGCAGTATAGGGGGATACTTAAGCTAAGAGCATGCTGGATCTAGAATAGTGCATCTGCTTGTGGGTCATTTGCAGTCAGGTCTGCTGCTGCGAGAGAAAAAGTTTAACTTCCAATCATCTTAAGTAGGAATACTTGTAGATGTAGCCTGAGATAGTTGTAGGGAAGAAATATTACTATCCCCTAAATAATGGTGTTGCTGCTATTCTGTCCAATCTAGTCAAGGAACTGCAGACTTCACTCTCTTGTAAATTGTATCACAACTAAAAATTATAAAGCTTTTTTTAGTTTGCCAAAGACTGATTCCGTGTGGGACTTTGTGCTCTTAAGAAGCAATAGGATGGAAATTAATAAAGTGAAATATTTAATAATATGATTTCAAATCTTTCTCATAATTCCCCTAAATGTTTTGGTATGAGAAGCTGTGCAATTTTTCCATCTGAAAACTTGCTGCGCTTTATCATACTCCTTTTCACTAGAAAACAAGCTACCGATGCTTGCGCTTTAAAAAATGCAGAACACATATTGTCTAAGTTCCATGTGCAAGAAGAGTTCTCATATTTTATGGGTGTTTTCCGTGGGAAATTTTAATTTATTTCTGTCATCTGGGAAAATAGAAATTCTCTACTGAATTATTTTTTCTCTTGGCAGCCAAAGTAAAAGTACTGACACGAGTTCTTTGTAAGTGTAAATTTTTTTCATGGTAGCATCAAAAGTACTTGTGATCACAGTTGGAGTGCCTTTAACTGGGACTTGGTGCACGTGGTTATTTTGTAGAACAGTGGGAAGTTACTCAGGATGCGAGCAGAAGGTGTTCTCCCACGAGTGGAAGCACTTCTCCGTTTGCGTGCTGTAACCGCGGTGTTTTGTGTTCAGGAGGGCGCGAAGGAGTTTGCGGCTGCCCTGACCGCGGAGCGCATCAAGACCCCGCCGAAGCGCCCCGGCGGCCGCCGGAGGGGGCGGCTGCCCAACAACACGAGCCGGCCCAGCACGCCCACCATCAACGTCCTGGAGTCAAAGGACACCGACAGCGATCGAGAGGCCGGCGCCGAGACCGGCGGGGAGAACAACGATAAAGAGGAAGAAGAGAAGAAAGATGAAACATCCAGTTCCTCTGGTAAGGCTGGGCAGTGCTGCTTCATTCAGTGAGCTGCGGTGCTTGAGAGGATGAACAGAACCAAAACGACAAAAAAACCAACGCAACAAAAACAAGTCAAGCCATTTCTAATCCTAGGAGATCCGTGCTGTTTCTGATCCTCGGAAATGTGTGTTTGGAATGTATGGAATGGAGTGAAGAATAATAATAGGAGTTGAATTAAACTCTAAGAGAATGTCTGCATTGTCTCAATTTACATGTTGGTCATTAATTTGAGTAGCTGCTGTTAGTTTCTGTAAGAGGCATCTGAAAAGTGCTTGTTTTTTCTGGCATTTAGGAAACAACAAAAACCCTGGGATATTTTTTAACTGCAGTTAATCATAATGCGAAGGGCAAAGTAAATGTTGATACGTAGTCTTACTCTCAATTATTTATTACAGAAGCGAATTCTAGGTGTCAAACACCAATAAAGATGAAGCCAAATATTGAGCCTCCAGAGAACGTGGAATGGAGTGGTGCAGAAGCTTCAATGTTTAGAGTTCTTATTGGCACCTACTATGACAACTTCTGTGCAATTGCCAGACTGATTGGGACCAAAACGTGCAGACAGGTAAGAAGGGAAGAGAAGCTACTTGCTAATAGTCATAGCAATTTACTTTTAAAGCTAAAGTATACAAATACTAGTATTGATTACTAAAAGGGAAAAGTAATTAATTTTCTTGGTTTTCCCAAGAATGCTATGGTCCAGAATTCATACCACAAATACATAGAAGTTAGTTTTAAAACTGTTTTTAAATTAAATTTACAGGAGGTTTAAATTAGAGTATCAGTTCTTAAATGACAAAAATAATCAACTTTAAATGTATTGAAAAGAGACTATGACTGGATATAATCTGTAAGTTGTTGGTTGGAGGAAATCATACTAACTTAGAATATGAGCAACTTTGTACTAGTGAGAGATTTATCGTGGATGTGTTATGGTATCTCTTGTTAGGTGTATGAGTTTAGAGTAAAGGAATCTAGTATTATTGCACCAGTCCCTGCTGAAGATGTTGATACTCCTCCCAGAAAGAAGAAAAGGAAACACAGGTAAATCTGTTACTAAATACCCTTAGCATAACAATAAATTGGAGATACAGGGGATCAGAACAGAAAGTGTTTTGGAGGAAAAGTTGTGCAACTCTTCTTTTGCTTCCAAAACCAAAAGTTACAGCAATAAAACAAAATGGTGTTTTAGTTTCAGACCAAATCTTACTGCATTGACAACTATAACCTTCCTCTTCTCTTCCCCTTTCCTTTCTTTTTAAGCTCTTTAACAGCCAGGTTCTTGTAGGTGTATTGATGCAAGCAGTCAAAACCCTGTTTAGATTAGAAATCACCTGTGCAGCTTGTTGCAACAAGATAGTGCGGTATAATTATTTTTTTCAGTGATAAACATTCAATTCAGAAGTGTTTCAATAGGCTTGAGTAATGACTATATGTTATTTTAAAATTAAAACCTATGTTTTTTAATGATGAAGTGCATTCTAGCAAGCTTCAGATAGCAAGCTAGTAGGATTGCCTTCTTTTTCTTTAGGAGACACTATTCCTTTGTAGCACCCCAGTTTCATTAGCACCTAGAACACCAACTAAAGAACCAGGTTAACAAGTTGTTATTTGAAGTGAAGCTGCAATGAAGAACAGACGATTATTTGACACAATTTCTGTTGAAATTCAAAACTTGGTGGCTACTGTCTGTCAGTGAAATGCATTTTTATTTGAGAATCCTGAGGTTTGGAGAATGCACCTCTGCATTGATTATTTTTATTCTGAGAGATAAGAACATAGGAGACTAAAAGCTGACTGAAAATTAGCAAAAACATTTCTTTAGCAAGCAATAAGTACACATTTTTCCATATAATTTCTTATTTCTCCCTTTAACTTCCCTTATTTTCCCTCAGGTTTGTCCTTTCAGTTCTTCTCCCATCAATTCTTCTTGCTTCTGTCTTTGCTTGTCTACTTATTATTTCCAGGCCTAGTGAAATTCCTGAACTGGTTCAAAGATCCTGTTGACGTGGAGTAGAATCTTTCTGCTTTGTACCATAGAAGCAGGCAACGTGAGCTGGGAAAAGATTGAGTGAACATCTGGAAAAGATTTTGTTCTCAGCAAGAGCTATTGATTTTAGTACTCTTGGCACAGTTTTCAAGTGTTTGGGCATTTGGTGGGCTTGGCTGTTTAAATTTAGGTTATTAGCCATGGTGCAAGTTTGGAATATGTAGCTGAGAATTAGCTTGCTGTCGGATTCACACAAATTGCTGTAAAAATGGTGCCACTGCATCTATTTAAAAGAGCAGCTAAAATGTTCAAATGTATTTTTGCAGCTGAAATGGATTGTATGATTATCAGGCTGACATTGTTTTGGAAGAATTCTCAGACTTTTTTTAGTTTAGGGGGGTTTTTTTTCCCAAAGTCAATGAAAGCACACTGCATTGCATGGGGTTTCTTGATTTTATTTGCTTTCTTATTAGTTGCCAATATAAAAACTTTATTGGTAGCAATTTAGTTTTGAAATGCCCTTTAATTCTTTAAACTCTCATTGAAAGAAGGAGATAATTTTATGAATATAATGTCCCAGAATATGTGGCAATGAAGCTGTTTCCATTCTTGTATGGCAGTAGCCTTTTTAGAAAGGAAAGCAGTTCAGCCTGCCTACATCCTGCTGTAACTTGAGCACTCTGAAGTTCTCCCACAACTAGAAATTGGGACAACCATCTGAAAATCTTCCTGTTTCTTACCTTTCTTTTAGTTGAATTTACTCACTCTTAGGGTAAATCAAGACCTAGAGCCAGGAAGGCCCTTCCTTTCCTTTTGCCCTTTTCTGTTGCAGGGCTCTTACCTGTCTGCAGGTTTTCCATGTGTGCATGTGGCTTTGAGCTAAATCAGCGTCACCAGAGAGAAAAGCAGCAGCAAAAAGCTGCTATGCTGGCCTCTTGTAACCAAGTTGAGAGCAGATAAAGTATTTTCTTGCAAGACTTTACCTATTTCCCATATTATCTTGGTGCCCTATGGACATACTGAGCAACTAGCCGACAAGACTGCACCCCTCTTGGATAAGAAATTGTCTTGTCTCCCTCCTTTCTGTGTCATTTTTGTTAAGGTAGCTGTAATAAGGATGATCAGTGGGAGAAGACAACTTCTAATATAATTGCTTTTTGGAGAACCAGTAAATGTCAGAGCCTGGCCTGTGTATCAAATTAACCTGTTATTTTGAGAAAACTCTGCCTTGAGGAGAAGTGAGTACTTTGCATAGAAGCCAGTAAAAAACCTGAATGAAGAAAGAATTCTGAAAAGCATGGGTGTATGCTGGAGGGAAAGTGTACTTCAGTACTGTTAATTCTTTCATGTGTATATTTTTCTTCCATTGCTGGGAGCTGAGTTGAATTTCCTTTAACTAATCAGCATTCCTTCCTCTCTTTTGGTACTGATTTTAAGGCCATGTAAAGCTGCTGCTTTGTTATTTTGGTTTTCCTCTTCTCCCTCATCCCCTATTCAGAGGCCACTTAGTAATTTTATTTGAAAATATTTTTTTCCCCCACTTTCTCATTTTCCTCCTCCTTCTGCTGGACTGCTGTTCACTGCATGTGTTTGAATAGCTTATATAGTTCTGCCAAGAGTTCAAGATGCCTTTTTGTAGGGATTTAAAGTCTCACTGTTATCAGACAAAAGGTGCAGCTGAGGCATTGGCACAGATATTCTTGTGTGGTACCTGGTTGGAAGGCTGAGTCTTGGAGTGGTGGAGAGGCTGTGGATAAGATGATCTGGGAGACTGAAGTCTTTGAGTGATGCCAGAAAATCAAACACTGCAAAGACTCAACTACATATTGGACATAATTGGCATGTATTTTGAATTTTTAGTGCTCTTTCTGATAGCAGAGTATCCCTGTGCAAAGCAAGAAATGCTGGAGCAGCTTCTTCCAAAGAGTGTTTTTAGTGCTGGTTGGCTGACACTGTTTCTGCCTAAAACCACTGGCAAAGTTTAGAAATCTGATAGGTTGTTAGGAGAGAAAACAATATCTTTGACAGCTGCTGTCATGATGCTTCTGGAAACACTTGATTTCTAAGCTGGCTCTCCTGCAGATGTCAGCCTCCAGATGTACAAATCCACCGGCTTGCTCGGAAACTTGCTACGCAGTTTCCAGTTGGCTTTTTGTAACGAAGTTTCAAGCTGTGAATGCTTTTGCAACTTTGTCTTTTCCTTGCCTTTGCTTCCTGCTGCATGGGACCAGGTCTTGCCTTTTGCTTCTGCTTGAGATGGCAGATTTATATAGGGCAGATACAAAAATGACTCTGCCTTTAGTATAGTGCTTGCTCAGGCTCCAGCTTTGTGCACTAGCTGGGGGAACTTGAGCATTTTGTGGCAGTTTTTGGAAGTTACAAGGCAGTGAATGTACTCTTGGATTGTGCCAGTCAAAACTCCTGTTGAGCTGGTCAGTGTTGGCAGCCTGCTTCCTGCTGGCTTTTGTCATTGCCCACAGTTCCTGCTGCCACTGTGTGTCTTCAGCCCCTCTCTCCCTCCTGTGACACCAATCTCTCCAGAAGAGGGACAGAGCAGATGGATGCCTTTCCCATTGTGACTGCCACCTGTAGTTTTCCTTCTGCTTTGACTTGTTACTACTTATGCTTTGTTGATGTATGTGTGCATTTGTGTGCATTGTGATTGTGCTTACCTTAGGAGAAAAAATGAAGCTGCTAATTGCTAATGAAAGAGTATTTTAAGAAGTCTGGCCACAGAATGCTTTTAAAGTTTGCTGTGCTAGTAGGTTCTTATTATCTTGGGGTGACAGACAAGTTTCTGTGAAAGACTTGTTCAAAAATATGGTATGTTACATTTTCCAAACACCAGGTAGACAAGAAAGAAAGTAGTTTGGTGTGCATGAGAGTAATTTAGTTAAAATTGCACTCCTTTTAGGCATATGGGAAGTGTCTTCTTGCGGAGTCAATGTCTCATAATTCATAAATATATGTTGGTAGCATTTTATTCTAGAGTAAATCACTCTTAATAGGAAGTACTTTTTGATTCTGGACTTCTTTCCTCTCAGCCTTAGTTACTTGGACAAGTTTGCCTTTGTGTGTTTCTAACTTGTATGGGCTCCTTCAGTGCTTGTAAGAAAATTGGTTATTGAGTTAAATCTCATAATAATGCTTTAGAAGGGCAATTTTATAGAGAATCTTATTTATCTGAAGCTGTTGGAAGGCGCTGCACACCATTTAGTTGAAGTAAAAGCTGCTATGCTTTTATGAAAGAAGTAGCAGCTAAAAAGTCCTATTTAAGCAGTTACAGTGGGAGATATTTTTAAGGAGTGCAAACTTCTGTGGAGTGTTGTATTCACTGAAAGGCAGAATGGCTTTTGTAGGTGTTCTGTGCTGGGAAGCTTTTAGTACCTGTGCTCATGAGTGTTTTGGGCAGCTCAGTAAATCTGCAGAGAAAGTGAGGTTGTTTGATGCAGCTGGCAATGTATTATTTTGCCCAGGGAATGAGGCTTCTCCCATATTGTCTTCATGTTGTTACATGATATACTAAGGAAGATATACTAAACTTTGCAAATCCTTAGTCTTATTTTTTTGTTATGTGTGTTCACTAAAATACAAGTGGTAACTAAAATGCAGAGAATTGAAGAAAAAATAAAACACCTGATTTCTCCTTTAATTTTAAGGCTATGAAATTAAAAGTCTGGTTTTCCTTTTGGTACTAAAGGTCCAGACAGGTGTTTTTGCTTGATTGTTTCTGACACACCATTTATGGAATAGCTGACATTCCCTGGCCAAAGAGCTTGCAGTCTGAAATGGATACAAAATGAAAGGGTAAATGTAATTTCAAGAACTTTCAAATACAGTGAATTATGTTATGCTAACCAAAAGCTAAGTTACTCTTAAAAATACACAGCAAAGCAACAAACAGAAATAATAAAATCCACCACACAACAAGAACACCACTTCTGGCAAAGGGTGTACTTGGCTGAGCTTCCTGAGAAAGGGGACACTGGAGAAAAACTGTAAGGACATAAGAGAAAGGAGTATAGGCTTTGAAGCAGAAGGGGAAAGGCTCAGTGCAGCACCAGCCAGGACACCTGGGGAAAAGTGTCCAGCCAGAAGGAATACTGAGGTCCCATCAGGATGGCTGTGCCAGGCAGACACTGTCTCCTGTCAAGTACTTGGAGCTCCTCAGGTGAAGGGTAGGACCTGGCTGTGATCTGTAGGTGACAACCAGAGTGGTGCTGGGGCCAAGTCCTGTGCAGCAAACAGTTGTCCCATTTTGATCCCCTTGTTCAGGCATGACCCTCCAGATCTGCAGCTTTGTATCCTTCCCTTGCTGCTGCTCCTGCCTGCCAGAAGCAGTTCCAGCAGCCGCTCTTGGCAGGGCTTCCTTCAAGGGCATCTGAATTTAAGCATCTCTAGGCTGGGCTGGGTGGGGACTGCTCATCTGTGCAATCCTGGGACTAGAGGAATGGTGTGGGGAGTGGGGGGAGCAGCCTGCAGAGCTCTGATCTTGTCAAGCCCTAGACTGGGACAGGGTGGTTCTGCTGCAGCCCCTCTGACTCATGTGCAGTTAGCAGGTGTTCACATCTCCAGAAACTTTCTCATCTTAAGTCAAGTGTGGGTGCAAGATGCAGCTGCCTTTCCCAGCCCACTGCAGGAGGAGTTCCTGTCAACCTTCTTGTTTGTTTTGTGTTTTTGCAGGTTGTGGGCTGCTCATTGCAGAAAGATACAGCTGAAAAAGGGTTAGCATCTTTCCATTCAATTTATGTCCTGAACTTTTAAGATTCTACTATTGCTTTTTTTTGTTTTTGTTCTGGTTGTTTGTGGGGGGGGGCTGGTTATTTGTTTTTTTAATGTTAGGCCATTATGTATGTTCTGTGGGGAGCTAGAAATTTTAGGGGCATGAAAATTAAAAATGTAAACTCTCACACGTGTTGTAGGGACAAAACGTACTCTTTGGTTTAAATAGCTGGAAGAGCTCTGTATAATTCAATAAAAAGGAAAGGAGGCTGAGTTTACTGTCTGTCCAGTATGACTTCATTGAAGCACAGGTAAAATGGTATTAAGGATAGGAGCTGCATTAAAAAGTGTTGTCTTTTTTTTTCTGAAAAATTGCTGAGAATAGTTGGGACTTCTAGCAACATAAATAATTGATTAGTTTGTCTCTCTCATTTTTTGTTGCTGATTGCTAACTTGAGCACTTTTACAAATTTACAAATTCAAACAAACCCAAAACAAGCTCAGGAGTACTAATAGCAAATATAATTTCTATAGCGCCAAATTCTCATAGCTGCTGTGTAGGTAAAGCTCTAGATTTGTCCCTGGTAGTTCCTTTCCTGCCTAGAAGACTTCAGCATTGTCTGTATTGGAAAATTGACTTGGGAAAGCACAGTAGTATAGTAATAATAATAATGGGATTACATTGCCAGTGTTACCTGTTTGAAAGTTGACTGTTGTTCCACATTAAAAATTGCTTTCAGTATTTCAGCAAATTTACTTTGCTGAATAATACCAGTGCTATTCCAAAACATGTCCTGACAGGAAATTATACCATTGTAGTTTCGTTTCTCAGTTTTCCACATAAACAGCTTTCAGCTCTGAATACTCAAAGCAGCTGAGCCATGGCAGAACGAGGTGCACTAGGAAGGCAGCTAATGGTGTAAAACACCTCACTAAGGTTACAGTTCTGGTTTTGTGTCTTTTGGGTTTTTAACCCCACTTGTTGTGGGTTTGGGTTTTTTGTTCATGTTTGGGCTTTCTTAATTAAATGACTGAAAAGAAATTTCTGCCTTAGAGTGAGGGGAACTGTATATTGTTTGTTTGCAACTTTCAACTTTACAAAATGTTGCTATTTTTATTCAGATGGGTCATCGAATCACGTTTACAACTATCAGCCATGTGATCACCCACGTCAGCCTTGTGATAGCTCATGCCCATGTGTAATTGCTCAAAACTTCTGTGAGAAGTTTTGTCAGTGCAGCTCAGAATGTAAGTAAAACATTTAAAAGTTGTCTATAAACTTCTCTCACTGTCCCACCACTGAGCTCTGTACTACCAGTCTGTCCATGCTGCAGGCAGTTACAGGAGCAGCAAATTGTGTCCAACAGTGTGAGCGTGTTCAGTTTAATTTGGCCCTTGTAACTGGCCATTGCATGAAGTCAGAAGCAGCCTTCAGATCTAAAATTGAGAAAGAGTTATTAAAATCAGGGAAGGAAAGAATTTGTAGTACTCCTGAATGTCCTATGCAGATATCAGTGGCTGTGTTAAATATTCTGATATGCTATAATCTGCACAGTCTTAATTTTACTCTGTATTTTTTCATACTTGCCTTTTTCTTTTCCACACATTCCTTTGTAGGCCAGAATCGTTTTCCTGGGTGTCGTTGTAAAGCACAATGCAACACCAAGCAGTGTCCCTGTTACCTGGCTGTCCGTGAGTGTGATCCTGACCTCTGTTTGACTTGTGGAGCAGCTGACCACTGGGACAGCAAAAATGTTTCTTGCAAGAACTGCAGCATTCAGAGAGGATCCAAAAAAGTACGTCCAGAGTTATACAACTGCATGTCTGTTGCCTGGGTTTTGAGGTGTTCTTATATTTTCAAGCCAGAGAATGGAATTTCTTTGCCCTCATACTGTCAAACTGGAAAAGAAAACAAAAAAACCCAAACCAAACAAAACAGCAAGGAAAGGAGTTGTCACTTGTTAGCTTGATCATGTGCTGCTGTTAAGTCTATCTACATTTTGTCATGTACCAATCAGTGTTTTCTGTGCATCAAGGCAGCAGAATATCTCCTTTTCCCCATTCAGGCTTTGCTTCTTAATTGCAAACAGGCTGCTGTTTTAAAGAGCTCAGCAGTCTTTCCCCAGATCAGCATAAAGAAGTTTATCCAGAGTCTAGAAGCTGTTTCTTTCTTCAGTTGTTGATTCTAATGTATAAACTTGTGTACAGTCTACTAAAGTCTTGAAAGCCCATTCAGTTCTGGAACGTCTTCTCACAAAATAGTTGATTACTGAGCCTAGTGAGGAGTGGGGTCCTGTCTGCAGACCTTTTGAGGTTGAAGTCTTTAGTAAATGAATTTTTATGTAACCCCCTCATTTCAAGGTGTCTTGAGTGGATTAAACTAAAATTTTTAGTAGTTTTCAAATACTTGGTCATTTTTCTTTTACATACATCTTCTGATCCACAAGCTGTAATTTTAGTGTGTGTTTGATCATTAGAAGACTCTGGATTTGTCTGCACTCCTGGAGTTCCAACATAAACATTTCACAAAGTGATACAAAACAAAATGGAAAAAAACCTGAACTCAAATCTAAGCCAGGCATATCAAAACTTCTTGGTTTTTCTATTCCACAGCACTTACTATTGGCACCTTCAGATGTGGCAGGTTGGGGAATTTTTATCAAAGATCCTGTACAGAAGAATGAATTCATCTCTGAATACTGTGGTGAGGTAAGGATGGAGAACACTGGATATTGGTGAAGTTATGCATTGACAATGACCGACCATGGGTGCCATTGTCTCTAACCTGGTGCCACGTTCAGACAGAGCCATGTGGCTGACTTCAGTGTCACAGGCTGTAACTCCAGGCACAGGCTCAGACCCCAGGAGCGACACAATTGAAATGTCACAAGAATTTTGAAACTGGTTCTTGTGAGAAGGAGAAGCTGGAATGTTCTTTTTGTTTTAGATGGAATTTCCGTTCAGACATGCTTGGAATTTGGTGGCAAATTATTTAGTATAGTACTGAAAGTCAGTAGGAGCTTTCACTAAGTATTCTGTAGCAATAAAACCCTGAGTACAGTACACAATCCTGATTTTGAGAGGAGAAGCAATTCTTGCTTTTCTTCTGCTCTGAAACAGTTTATTTATGCTAAAAGCTAAGTATGGATATTTGGTAAGTGCAAAATGCTTGCTGCAAACAACACTTTGTTTGGGAATACTTTGAATCCCAGAGAATAAAAAAACTCCCACCTGTCTTTCAAAAGGCTGGAGGGGTTGACATTAAGATGCTGTGGTTACACAATGGAGGAGTGCTTCTCTTTTTTACAAGTGGTGTTTCTTTCAGATTATTTCTCAGGATGAGGCAGACAGAAGAGGAAAAGTGTATGACAAATACATGTGCAGCTTTCTGTTTAACTTGAATAATGGTATGTATTACGGTATGCATAATGGTATGCATTAGTTGCAACCCTTGGCAGCATAAGTAAAATATGTATGCTTAGCATTTTGTTCAGCCCTGTTCTTCTGCAGACAGCAGGTAACAATGAGAATTTTTTTCCACACATCTTTCCCTATCAGTGTGTGGATTTATCTTGTTGATAGTTAGCCTTTGGGGTTTTTCCTCTAAATGCTAATCAGCTAGATGTAGTGATGGAGCCTGTTGCACAAGCAACTGTACAAGAGGAGTAGAACTTCATGGAGTAAAAATGTGTGCGGACATTAAGTAGACTAAAGAATGTAAAAAGCTTGCCAGGTGTTGTCTGAAGTAATTTTACTGAACTAAATCAGCAGTAAGTTATGTTGGTAATTGTGTTGGGGGAAAAAAGCCACTTGTGGTATGTGACTGCTGCCACTTGAGAAGAAAAATACAGACTGCACTGTGTCAAGCATAAAATACTAGATAATAGTTGAAATGAGGAAAAAAACCCTGCTGCTTTATGTCAGTGTTGACTTAGCATATTTATGGAGCTTGTCCTTGTGGAATAAAGGTAGAGAAGCTTCAATGGGAAGCTAAGGTGGTGCCACTGTGGCAGGAGGTAAAGGAAAAGCACCGTGTGGAACAGCAGAGTTCAGCTCTTCCATGGGAGAAGCTGTGCAGTTATCTTCATCTGCTAAGATCCAAGCACACTAGGTATTAAACTCGGAAACGTGTTTGTAGGTGACCCAGCCAACATTTGTGGGTTTTGTTGTTTTTTTCTGCCCCCTTAGATTTTGTGGTTGATGCAACACGCAAGGGCAACAAAATTAGATTTGCAAACCATTCAGTAAATCCCAACTGCTATGCAAAAGGTAAGTTTCACATTTACTTGCTTTTCATCAATGCATGAAATACTGGTATTTCTTCAAGATGCATTTTATCAGTATTTGTACTAACATACCTGATTTCTTTTAAAACAGTTATGATGGTTAATGGTGATCACAGAATAGGAATATTTGCTAAAAGAGCCATTCAGACTGGTGAAGAACTGTTCTTTGACTACAGGTGGGTAGATGGGTTTCAGATGGGATTCGCTTTCAGTATCTGTGCAGCTCAGAGTTAATTCCTGTGCCTGCCTGGCCCCTGCAAGCCTCAGGTCTCAGCAGCTGAGAAGCAGCACTCCCCACACTGGTTTTGTTAAGCCAGGTGCCATAGCAAGACTGATTTGAGCAATGCAGCTGGCTAAGAGCCTGCAAACTTGGAAAAGCAGCTTGTATAGAGCAAACTGTAGTGACAAATGGGGACAGACTTTCTTGGGTTGGGTTACCTTGGTAGCAGTACAAGTTAACTCCCCCATCATTCAGAAATAGGCAAGAATTTCAGAGAATGAAATTTCAGAATTACTACAGACAAATGTTTGTTAAGAATGTGTCCTTAACTGTCCTCTACAATCATCTTACTTGGCAAAAAGTAAGCTGTCCAGTGGCAATACTGTGTAGGTCATCCTGGAGAAATGCAGTTGCTTTCCAGTACTGAAAATGAACTTCAGGACTCTGAGATTCAAGGTGAAAAAGTATGGAATTTTAGTGATTCGTCTCCTCTTGATCAAACACCTCTGAAAGTAGTTTCTTGAGTGGGTCAGCAGTGTTATGCACCTGCAAATTCACACAAGGAGGAAACACTCCAGCTGGTGAGGAATGATGGGAAATCTAAGCATGAGAGTATTCCAGGCTGGGGTGCCATTCTGTCAGAACAATGAAGCTGAAATGTTCCATGGTACTGTTTTTTTTGTGATTTTGTGGGGTTTTTTTTGTATTTCAGATATAGCCAAGCGGATGCCCTTAAATATGTGGGCATTGAAAGAGAAATGGAAATCCCTTGACACCAGCTACCTCTTCTTTTAAACAAACAGCTGCCTTATCTTCAGGAATTTCTAGTACTGTGGGCAATTTTAGAAAAATACAAATGATGCAATTTGAAATTCTGTATTTGCAAAGTACTGTAACAGTAATTTATAGTAACAAATTTTAAAAAAACCTGACTTTTTATTGCCTTCTCACCAGCTGCAAAGTGTTTTGTACCTATGAACTTTTGCAATAATGTGGTGTGGTACATTTTTCAACCTTGAATAAAGGATACTTGAACTTCTTCATTTTTACTGGAATTGAGTTGGAATTTTGTGTCAGCCCCTTGAGAAAGCAATGTGAATTTAACCTGTAACTTCTGTGCAAAGGCAGCTCCATACTTGTCTCCTTCTGTTACTTTGGTCACGTTTAACATCAGGATGAAGATGGAAACAGTGTAGATGGCAGTCAGGTGCTTGTGCTGCTGCAGTGCCTCAGTGAAACAGGTGAAACAAGCTCTTGCAGCTTCTCAGCTCCCTTGGATGCAGCTACATCCACATCCTCTGGAGTAATGGCTGCAGCCCAGAAACTCCTCCAATTGCCAGAGTAGCTGTACTTTCCGTGACAAACACTACTTTCAAGACAAAGCTGTGGCACAAGGTGCCCTTGCTGTGGCTTCTATGAAGCACCAAACTGAATGATAAATACAACAGTAACTACACCTATATTAAAAACTTAAGAGATGCAAAAGAGAAATGCACAGTTTTCCTTCAGAAACATTTAGACAGCAGGTAGATGTCTGTACAGGACTACCACATTTATTTTTTACTTGCTGGTGGATGTGGACTCTGCAGCCTTTTGTGAAGTAGAACACAATGCTCTGGTCAAACCAGCTGGAGTGGGAGGACAGGCACAGGGTGGCATTACTGCAAAACTGAGTCCATGAAATCCTGTCCATGATGACCAGTTACCTGCTGCACTGAGGGGGCTCCAAGCCTGGGCCTGAGTTCAGCTTTTCTGCTTCCACACTCCATGTACAGCAGGCAGCTGCCACATGCCCTCCACTGTGGTGGTGGCCCAAGTAAGAATTAAGAGCTCATGAGGAAAAGAACAGTCCAAAAGTAAAAACCTGATTTTCTCCCTCCTCAGGTAGAGCACAGCTCCTAGTCTGAAGGATGCACAGTACATAAAGCACTGCTTTAACCAGCGAAGGGCTTTGAAAGGAAGCTCAGAGCAGCTGATTTCTGGCCTTCCAACTAAGAAAGGAGTTCAGGCTGCTTCTTTGTTATCATAGCACATATACCCTGCTGAAGAAATCTATTACCCCTGAACTTTCTGCAAGAAGGTTTTACAAAAACAAAACAGCATCTTAGGAAAAAAAAAATTAAGAGGCATCACTAGGTCCCCCATTCTAAATTTCCAAAAGCAACTTTGAGCAGCAAGATGCTTCTATTGCCCCTAATGGCAGTCTTTAGCCCTTTCAGAACAGAAATAGCAAGCGTACAAAATCTCAAGTGCAGATGACACCCCTCCCTTCTAGTAGTGCTCAGGTTTTTTTTTTAACCCAGAGTTCAACTGTAACCATTTCCCTCAAGAGAGAAACATTAGCAACACAAAACCTGGCTCCTTTCCTGCCAGAAGAAACAAAATCACAGTTTGTATAAAGGGTAAAATGGCTACAGAAGTTAAATTCTTTTCAGGATCAAGATTAGAAAATATAGATTACCAATAGTGAGACCTGTGAGGATGGCAGCATTTTGCTTGTAGCATATGGAAAGCCAATACTCATTTCATAAAATGTTGCGAGAAGAATGGAATGAAGCCTGGTCAATCAAGGCAGGTGTATTAACACTTTTAAAGTATTTTAATTCCCATTCACAGGTTGCATTTAATGGGAATTGTTCTTCAGGAACACACTCAATTTTCTGCTCCAGTCAAAGAAATGGGCAGCCTAAACCTCCTTTATTCTAGGCAGCATTTATGCAAGTGTGATGCACTTTATAGCACAATGAGCAATATTAAAACCAGCTCCAAGTTCAGATGACCAAGCACTGCTATATATTCTGAGCATTTTCTATTCTGCATATCTTGTGAAATCATCACAAATTTCTTTTATTTTCAAAGTGCAGACATTTCCTCTTCAAAAAGAAATAACATGCACATATAATGACAGATGACAATATCTTCAGAGAACAAAATGTTTTTAAAGCACCAGAAAATGGGGAGGAAAAGCAAAACGAATTTCTAATAGCTTTCATAACCATTATACCTTTTATTTACATTTAGAAAGATAAGTCATGAAACAAAACAATAAAACCAAATGCAACTTGTACAGAAATCTTTTAAAATGTTTTTATTATTTATCACACATTAAAAAATGAAACACACTATACAAATGGTTTTTCATAGCAGATTACACATGGGTCCATTCGGACTCGCTCTCCAAGTGCTGCCAACATGTATAAGTGCTGCCTGTGATGGCAGCTGTTTATCATATAGCCAATGTATTGATTTAAATGCAGTAGCATGCAACCCTTAAACGAGAAGGGTCTGATTCCTTTCTGTTCTTAAATTAGGTTAAATGGCATTGGTGTCCATATTTACATACTTGAAATGTATCAATCCTGAGCAGTTCTGATGTAAATCTGAGACTGGCTGATGGAGTCCTGGTCTCAGTCATTAAAAAGGGAGGTCCAAATGGCAGCAGGGTGGCTGCTATGAAGTTCTGTCGCTTTCATTCTTTCCATCACATACCTACTTGCTGAGTGTCACACAGTCAGGTAATTGCTAATAAAAATGCTAAGCCAAGTAACTGTAGGTGTCCTTCTCACCATCTACACGTTCCAAGTACTCCTTCTCAATGAGGATGTCAATGCATTTCTGTGGGAGGAACAGAACAGAGGTAAGCTGTGGGACACAGGCATAAAAGCCCTCTCTGAGGTTTCTCCAAACATTGATTTTGTCCCCTGAGGGAGTTCCCTGCCAAGCAGAGGACGGCAATAGGCAAAGGACACACACCACAGCAGTTCACTCTCCTCTTTCTGACCACATCCAAGCAGAAGGCTCTGCTAATCCACTAAACTGAATTGCACTTACTGCATGCCATTCCAGGGGTGTGACTGGGAGACCATCAGTATGCTGAGCAACTTCACAGCATGACAGCAAATAAAGAATTAACCAAGAGGCAGAGAGCTTATGTAAGGTTACAAAAGACAGCAGCAGCAATGAGGGGATGTCTGTGTAACTGCCCTGCACTGGTGCCAGTTTATGCAACTGCTCTCACCGCCTTTGCCTCACCTACCCCTTGGTTGTGGATATAAAAACTGCTGGTGAGCACACTTAGACAAACTGATGAAGAAATTAGTATACATAAATCAATAATTAATATAATCAATACAATTATGAGTAAATAATTAAATACAATGCCCCCCATCCCACCATTTTTACTGTAAAGGAAAGCAGGAAACTCTTTTATCAAGCTAACCCCAAGGTTGACTGTTGTCCCACAACTGGGACAGCAGGAACAAAAGGTAAGCCTGGATCAAGGGCTATGGTAAGGTGACACTGATGTGAAAAAATGCAATCCAGTTACTATTTTACCACCACTGACAACAATGCGAAACATGGATATTGCCCTAAGAGAAAAGAAGTATTTCTGGTTAAAGTATTTCCTACTTGCAACTCTAAAAGATCTGTCCTTGCCCATCCCATCCCCTTAGCTTTCCTTTTTAATTCAGAAGCATGTATTTTTGTCTGTGTCTGTATCCTCCTCACCTCCTGGAATCCAGGCTCAGAGATGTGGGTCTCACATACCTTAATTACAGGAACTCGTGGCTTGAACCTTGAGGACAGCTGTGTTAGCACTTCTCCAAGCAGTTGCTGGTGTTTTAGAACCTTCCTCATTTTCATGATTCTCACAATAGCAGCCTGCATAGCAAATTTGGGAAGGTGTGTTTAGGAGCAAAGTACTTGTCCTCTGTGTAAAGCCATTTAACTCCCCTAGATCATGTCTGCCCATGTAGAAGCACCACCACAACCAACTCGAGCACCAGACAGGGAGAAGCTTTGCCCACGAGTGTCAGCTACTCACACAGACCAAGAACTCAGTCTCCACAGCACACAGTCATCAGAAGTGGTTTCGACACATGAATTTTTAGAACTGTGCTTACAGTCAGTCAGTCAGTCATAATAATAATAGCACCAACTGGTAACAAGAGCCACACAAAACTACTTGTGTAGCAAAAAGCTTTCTTTATATATTTAACCTTACTGTGACACTGTCTTAGTGGTACATCTGTATTTCCATCCCCTGCCTCTCAAGTGAATTCCAAATGAATTGATATAAAATCACTGTTGATTTCATACTACAAGGGTATTACTATTTTTTAGTTATTCAGTTTTCACCCAGGGCAAGTTCTGGTGAACGTGTATTCAAGGAACCCAAACGCTCATCAACATCAGGTTAGAACAATGTGAATGAACACATCCTGTCTGTAGAAGTGCCTTCCTCCAGTTTCTAGTACAGACTCAAATCACCTTTAAGAATATTTTAAATACATTTTTTGAACTCTAATGTAATTAGAGCATGTTCTCTTCTAGTAAAAATTAGGAAAACCCTACAATAAGCTTCATTAAGTGATTACAAAGATTTGTGACAGCATTCTGCAATAAAACTCACCTGAATCAGTAGTTTCCTGTCTTCCTCTATATTTTTGTGTGTAGTTTCTTGCTCCTGCTTCTGTTCAGTCTTCATTGGCACATTGATGTTTACCCTTAATTTTTTGCTGTAAAGTAAAGCAGAAGTTAATTAACAATTAGATTGTTTAAAAACCGAAGAAATACAGAAAAAACTCCGAACAAAACCCAACTCCAAAATAAAAACCACAGCACCATAATTACTTTACAACAACACAGGACTTTGGCTCCTCTCAAAACTTTAGATGCACTTATTCAAGTTAAAACAAAATTAGAATAAAAATAAAGAATGCCCACAACCAATCAGCGAAACAAAATACCTTTCTGGTGGGTGTCTGTGTATCTCACGGTTTACTGAATCCATCCTAGCGATCTGTGTAACTAGCACTGTACAGTTACATTGTATTCAAAATATTTCTGTGTGTAGTAAGAAGCTTAGAGTCAGTGAAGGGGACAAAGGAAGTCAATGGAAACAGAATCACCCTTCTGATTTACAGACTGGATTCTGACCATAATGGGGAGAATATCTTTGTTCTGTGGAACTGAGCTCTGCCTTTCTTTCACAAGCTCCCTGGCACTGACAGCTGTGCTGAGGTGAGCCCACTGC